AGCTTTTGTTTCATTAAGTACTGAGCGCTTATCATAATTAATCCTCAAGAAAAATATTTGTTGCACAGCACCAGATTGCTTCAACTTGGTCAAAAAGAAAACAACATGGTAAGCATTGGGCACACAGTGGGCATTGAACAATCATTAGTTCCTGCTTCCTACTTCTCTCTTATTTTCCTCTAGTATGCTTCCAATCTCCTCCAAAACAACTATTTCCCATGTTTGTCTCTTTCATGGCATATCTGTATTTCTTCTTATTTGGCCCCAGATGTCAGATTGGCTTGCATTACTCCAGGATGAATCATTTGATTTCCTGTCCATGTTCCTAACCTTTCCAGATCCTCTTGTATCATTTCTCAGTCATTCCTGCTGTTTACAATACCTCTCAACTTAAAGCCATCTGCAAATCTCATTAACAAACCACTGACTGACTCCTTCTCCCCCGCGATCACAGGACATGTTGAATAAAACAAGGCCTGACACCAATTCTCTCTTCTCCATTTGAGGCACCACCTCTCTGGGTCATGTTAACTTACTGCCATTTTTATAAAATTTTATTATTATCACACATGTACTTCTATAGGCAAATCTAAATATGCAAATATATAAAGATCATTTTTAAATTATTCATTTTACAAGAAAATGAATGACTTCCTTTAACAAGTCACCTTTCCTAGGATACTTAGCTTAAAAAAATTTACCCTACTTTTCAAGGCTTTTGAATATAGGTGTTTCGTATCCTTTAGCCACTTCAGTCTAAAAGGAATCATTTCTTGGTAAATCATTGAAAATAATTCAAATACTTTCATGTTAATGGCAAGCATCTGAGAAATCTACTAGTTTTCTCACTGCTGATTCAATGACTCTTAGACTCATCTTTTCCATCTCTGTATCTTGACATACTCAAAATGTTTCCAAAGCTTGCTTATTCTTCTTTCCTCAAAAACTTTTTGAGTGTCTTCCATGTTCTAAGTGTTGTGCTAAATGCTGGGATACAATAAAGAAGAGTCTTCGCCCTTTAGCATTTCTTTGTCCAGCAAAGAGTATGAAGGGAAGTACTACTATTGATCACCTGATATATTCTGGGCCTGTAATGGGTGTTATCCTATCTATACACAACCAAAACCCATCTGAGAGCTGAGAAAGCAGGGGTTCAGAGAAGAAATTTGACTTTGATGCAGAATATGAATGGACAACTGTATTTGCCAGTTTTCTATTATTATAACAAAATACCTGAGCTAATCCTTATAAAGAGAAAAAGTTAATTTTGGCTCACAATTTTGGAGGTTTTAGTCCATAATCAGGTGACCCAATTCCTTTGGGTCTGTGGTAAGGCAGCATACCATGGCAAGAGTACATGTCAGAGTATAACTGTTTACCTCATGGCCAGGAAGCAAAAGAGTTTAAGAATATGTAACAAGGACCATTACAAGAGGAACTAACTTCAATGTCCATCACAAGGGAGTGAAATAAAACAATGCTACATGCATAAAATGATATTGCACATAGCCACTAAAAAATTAGGTAGAATATGTAATGATCTATAAGGATTTTCCAAATATTAAGTGAAAAGGCATATTACAGAACAGGATATACTATGAGCTTATAATATATATAGCAGTGTGTGTGTGTGTGTGTGTGTGTATAACATAAACAACTGGAGAAATACATACCAATAATTTAACAGAGGTTATATGTAAGAGGAGGGAATGGGGCTCTTTCTACTGGTATCTTCTAAATTTTGGTAATTTAAAAAAATTCAAATAAATAGAAATGTTCATACATTCAGATCTAGTTATGCCTCTGCATTGCAATAAACAGCACTGTGGACTAGGAGTCAAGAAACTTGTTCAAGATCACCAGTCATGTATTGTATCAAGCTTAGCATTTTCACTTCAATTTCATTGTCTTGCTACATCCCATTCATCTTCAACCCCAGAACCCTGATTATATCATATCTTGAGTAATGTCCTGATGACCTATTTCAGCCTCTGCTTTTTATCACAAGATTAATTACTCCCATCAAGATGGCTTGCTCCTCCAAACTCTCCAACCTGGCACTCTAACCATACGTAGCAAGCAACACTCCATTTTTTCAAAGCCTGCTGGCAGGTCGTCCCAAGTTTTCATTACACACTTCTGCTCTGTAAAACCAGATCAAGGTTTACAATGTCTTCAGCATCTCCCAACGGCACACTATTTATTGGTATTTGAATTTGGACAATTCCTTGTTGGGCAGGGACATTCCCATCTGGCCATCTAAATACCTCCAGGACTTCACTATAACAAAATTACAACCACCCACTCATTTCCAAACACATCTCTCAAGTGCATAATAGAGAACTACCCTTTGATGGGCCCTGGCTAACACACCAATTTCATCTTTGTCTATTATTCTACCATCAGAGAGTTGGATTAAATTTATTGAAATTCTCATTAGGCCACATACTTCTTCAGTGATTAAATTTTCTGCACATTCTGTTAACATTTATGTGTATATATGTATACATGTATATATGAGTGTATACGTTATATAGTCTTTTGGTTCAATAAAGGCAGTCTCTACAACTTTATATATACAGTCTTCATTTATTATTATTTATTGTTTTGCAAACTAGGAACTGAACTCAATGTCTTATGTGTGTTAGGAAAGAACTCTCTGAGCTACAACCCTAGCCCTTTTTTAATTTTATATATATATTTGTGTATTTTTTTTTTCTGTATTAGTGGATTGAACCCAGAAGTGTTTTACCACTGAGCTACATTACCCAGCCCTTTTATTTTGAGACAGGGTCTTGCTAAGTTGCTCAGGCTGGCCTTGAACTTGGCAATTCCCCAGTTTGGTAGAGTCCCCCTGAACCTGAGTCCCTGGCATTATAGGGGTACACTACCATGCTCAGGTTTTTTTCTTTTTCTTCTTAACTTCTATATCAACTATATCCACCCATCCTCCACCTTTTTCTAAACCATGAAGCAGTGGTCACCCTGTGAATTGGATGTTATCTACTACATAAAATGTTAATCATGTTCATTAGATTAAAAAGGCAATTTTCCCTCTCATGGAGAAAACTGGGACAACATGTATCAAATTGGGCATAATCTGACAGTCTTCAAAGTCAGTTTGCTTTTTGCGTTTCAAATAAGACTTAAATCTGTTTGGTCTTAATTATGAGGTTTGGAAAGTCTCGTCTTTCTTCTATACCAAGAGATTTCTTAACTTTTTCAAAATATGAACTCTTCAGACAATCACCTTCCCCCAACTAGGATCTAAGGAATCAATCCTTAATTGTATTTATAAATGCTAAAGCTTCCCTGTTCTTTCCACTCTCTTAAAAAGTGTAATAAATATAATAGTTTCTTTCCCACTTGGAAAAGCACAATTTTTGGAGCCTGGAGTTGGCTGCGTTAGAAATTAGCAATGTCTTTGATGATGCACAGCTGTCTTCATTTCTTAATCGCAGATGTCTAAAGCATTCCAGGAGACTGACTCATGTACCTGGAGAAAGAGACCATGACTTCTTATTCCTTCTCCTGAAGCTTTTGTCAGATCAAGAAGAGGTTAGTTTCTCCTTTATTGTACAACTAGGAACTTAACTGCAAGATTAGGAACTTAATTACCAGATGACCTGCAGTCCTGACCTTTCTTTTTGATATTTTCTTCACCACCATTTCCTGCTTTATCTCATACATTTGTGTCAAACCTAGGTGCGGCATTTGGTGATCTTACTGTCTCTCCTTTATTTTCCCCCTCCCCCTATGGATATTCACTTAAGATACTAAAATGTCAAAACTTTAGTTTTCCTACCAATCGCTGCCATTTTATGGCAAAGGGAAAACAGAGCATTGTGTTGTAGCCTACCCTTCCCTGCAGGACCCAAATTTTGTTGTTTGTGATACTGGGGATTAAACCAGGCTCTCATGCATACTAGCCAAGCGCTCAACCACACGGCCACATTTCCAGCCCACCCAGGAATTTTTGAGCATGTAAAATAGTCCAAGAAAGCACCAAGTCTGAAGTGGGCAATTAAGAGCACCAAGTCTGAAGTTCCTTATTGAACGGTTCTTAGTTTTGTGACTCCAAATAACTGCCTCTCCTCAAAAGGATTCTATTACTCCACATCAGCAACCCTTCCTTCCTATTCTTGTATAGAAAGTAGATGATCAAATCTAACCCCCTTCCATCCAGCCAAGGACCTTTTATCTGAAACCCAATAAAATGTGTATTCCTTGGGGACAAAAGTAACAACCAAGATACAGACAGCTACTCTTGTGAGAGAAATACTTATATACCTGAACAGTTCTACTTGAAAAAGCTGTTTCACTATATGTAAATGATGCTTCAATTAAAAAAAAAAAAAATCTACTGGCTAAGACATCTGTTCATAACAGCTATAAATAATAGGATTCTCTATACCCTTAAACACTACCTCATAAACAAAGCACCAAAGATGTACATATCTTCCCTTCTACCTAAAATCACATATTTTTCTTAGTGTGTCTTCCATTCAATTAAATGGAGTACCTCTGGACTGGCTGGGCGGGCAAAGTGAAAATTAAAAAAAAAACAACAAAAAACTGACAGCACTGAGGAATGAGAAAGTTACAGCCCTGAAAAGTGGTTTGAGCATTGAGGTCATACACTAATTAGAAGCTTGAGAACAGGTCTCCAACTCTACTTAGCATGGGGTGCAAACAGCACAGGTGGTTTCAATACATCCTAGAAAGAATGGATGTAAAAAGAACAATCCCAGTCCTTAGTACTATTTTCAACCACTAAAAAGTTCCTCCCAGTGAATATATTCACCTCAAGGAATAAATACTACATTAAGAATGAATAAATAGGGCTGGGGTTATGGCTCAATGGTAGAGTGCTTGCTAAGCACATGTGAGGTACCAGGTTCAATCTCCAGCACCACGCACACACACAAAACCTAAATAAAAAAAATAAAGGTATTGTTTCCATCTACAAATAAAAATATTTTTTAAAAAATTAATAAACATTCAGGTGGTTTGAGATTTTATTGAGAAAATAGCTATTTTGACATTATATCCAGTTTCTCATTTATCAGAATAAACTCTTTACAACATTGATCATCATTACCACTTCTGGGTATTTATACATCGTCTCTGAGTGAAATATATTCACACTAGCAAGGCTAGAAATATTGAAATTATGGCCAACATTGTTTATTTTAAGATCACTTATAATAAAACTATAGTAGTTGCACACTAGAACAGATGTTTAGATGTTTTCTATACAAAGATAGCTTAGTTACCCAAGAATGCAAACATATATCTCATGTCTTCTTTACTGTCAAACATCCAAAAAGCTAAACTTACAAACACCTCAAATATCCACTTCAAAATGGCCAGAAATGTGGAAAAGCATTAGCTCCTATTTTACAAAATAAAAAATTAAGTCAAAAGGGGAATAAAAGTCATCTTTACGCATTCAATGTAAAAGTTTGAATACACCCCTTCTTCTCCAAGATAAAGACTCCAGCAATGCAGGAGAAGCAGCAACAGTCCAAAGAGTAAACGGCCAGCCCAGATTTCTCTGTAGTGCATGAAGTGCTGAGGACTGATTCAAACTCTGGCAAGTCATTTTTTGTGATTTCCAAGGATCTGGGATATGTAAACTAAATGACTAAAAGGCATTTCTCTGACTTTGCAAGAGGAAAACTGAAGAAACAGAACAAAGATCCAACCTCTTTTCATGTGGTTAGATGTTCACCATCACATCACAACTCAAAGCCCAAGGGCAAGCTTTTTTAAAAACACATCCAAAACATGAGCTGTATACATTGCAACAAATGAACAGAAAACCAGCCTTATGTCTCATTAGAGATCTGGTTTTATACTTTGAAATGAAATAAAACATATTTAGTTAGCTACCTCAAATTTGAAGTCCAGTGAGGTTTTAACTCTTTAGGAGTAGAATCTGCTGAAATGTAATGAAAATATGTGCAAGTGTGCTGCACACACAATCCTCATTTAGGCCATGTTTTCTGTTATAAAATAAAACTTGAAAATATTAAGCTTCCTTTGCCTTGTCATGGAAGCAACTGAATGCTTTCTTACATATATAATAAAAGCCCATTGTCTTCTTTGGCACTTTTAAAGCACACCTGGAAAAGATATGGAAAATTGTTCTGACATTACAAGTTGATTCTGTCTCGTGGATGCCTACGAAGTGATTAATTATCTGAACCACCAGTTCAGACCCCTGGACCGCTATTCCAAGCTGACTGCAACTCTAGGGGAATGGGTTGGACTGACCAGGGTCCCACATGTACCTAAATCACAACCTATCAACACCCAAAGTCACCCTGCTCTCAATTCCATAGTTAAGAAGTTCTGACCCATTTTATCACCGTCACTGGAGGGGCATCCAACATAGAAAGAAACTTCTGCAATGAAAGCAAAACATCAAAAAGACTCTTTTCCTAAGTGTATTTCTCAGAACACAAATCCCACAAAACATCTACTTCAACACAAAATCTACATTTAAATAAATTAGGGAAATGATGTATAAAATAGAGGTGCTTAATGGAAACTACAAACCTCCTCCTAAGAAATGCATGTGCAAAAGCACATGTACACAGACACGTACAGTCCCTTTGGACTATGTCTTTAGTAATAAAATAAAACTTGGAAATCTGGAAGATTGAAAAAGTAATTAGCATATCAAAAGCTCTGAAAAGCCTATAGAACTGAACTATGTCTAATAGAACATTTTCCAAACTTGTTGAGCTAGAGAATTCTCTATTCATATAACAATATATTCTGCCAAAATGCCCCTTTAGGAATTACTTTTCTGATACAATAAAACTATGTGTTTTAAAAATATTTTGATTTCAAATTAATAATAATGAGGGCATAGAAAAACTATCTTCTTGACTTTTGTTTTTTAAAAGAAACTAGCTTATTTCACTCTGATAATCTTCTATTACAACATCTTCCATTTTACTTACAAACATCCAACTTGATGCTATCCTTCTATTATATCATACCATTGTTCAAGAATGTTAATTCTCAGGTGTGGCAGCACACCCTGTGATCCTAGCTACTTAGGAGGCTGAGGCAGGAGCATAACAAGTACAATGCCAGCCTCTGTCGCTTGGTGAGACACCATCTCAAAATAAAATTTAATAGAAGACTGGGGATGTAGCTTATTGGTAGAGTGCCTCTTAGTTCAGTCCTCAATACTGGAAAAAAAAAAGTTAATTCTCACCAGTAATTTATGGTATATTTTCTGGAAAAAAATAATTTTTAAATCTTCTTAAATTCCCCTACCTCAATCACAATTTTCCTAAAGTCCAGAGCTAGTAATCTGGTCTCCTAGCAATCACTATATCCCAATATAGAAACAATAGTTTGTAGGCTAAATTATTTTGCAAACCTTAAAACCAAAAGTTAAAAAAAAATCCTTACATCTCTATGATAATTAGCATTTTGAAGAGCTAATGAAACTTTAATTAAAACTTTGAGAATATTTAGAATCACTGATTTTTGATTTCATGTAAGGACAAGTGTTTCTAAAAATATGTTTACAAATATGGAAGCATTAAAAAGTAAATATAAATTCCACAGAGCTTAACAATAGCCAAAAATATTTTTTTAAAAAAAGGCAAAAAATAAAAATTCTTACCGCATCCCAAATTATCTCTGTTGCTCTGCTCAGAATCTCAATTATAAAAATAACCAAACCAAGAAAGAGTCAATTGCTAACTCTCTTTGAGATTAAAACAAAAAGCACACAGACATGTCACTCCTTCATAAAAGGGTAGTCTTAGTGCATTTCTCATCACATTGGGTATCTAGACAATAAATAGAAAACGAAGAACTCCCATGTGAAGAGACTGAAGAACTACTTCAAAATATTTTATCCTCAAATGTGAACAAAGATACCACAAGAAAAAAATATATAATTAGAAACATAAAATCACATAATTTTTGACATCATAGGGAAAAGGATTTCTTGATTTTAGGTCATTATTTTTTCTCTTTTGGTAAGGCAAAGTAGATCTTTTGAGAAACATTTGTTATACACCTGAGTTTTCTTCTTTAAGCCCAAGAATGAAATCAAAATTATACTTAATTTATTCTGTATTTATTCATCTGGAGCCAAATACTATGTTTGAAGCATAGAATCTTAAATTACAGTAGATAATAATCAATTTACTTTTAAAAAAATAAAATAATTATATACTTAGAAGATGTTGCAAAAATAGAACAGAGATAGCCCATGTCCTATCCTTAGCTTCCTGTTTATATTAAAGCACTTTTATTTTGACTTTAAAAGGGTTAAGATTATTGATAGCTTATGAAAAATTGCCCCCACAAATCTAACAGAACAAATCAATGCATATTTTTGAAGGAAGTGCAAAACAAACTTGCAAATTCAAATATCAATTTCATCACATGAAGCTACCTGAACAAATTGGTTTTCTAAGATACCATCACTGTGACTAGTTTCTGCCTCTTCTTATTTTTTCCCAATTTTATAGACTTCCAAAAATTTTAACTTAGCTCTGTTGAAATAAGCCTTCCTGTTTCTTCATGTTAATGTATCCTAGGAATATGAAATGGACAGAAATTACAAATGGAAATAAAAATGCCTGCTTCTGTAAAATCTCTAATCCTCTAGTACTCAAAAATAATTCAAACATATCTAAATTGAAATTTGATTTGTTAATGCCAACCCTTTGTGAAATCAAAAAACAGTTTTGGAGAAATGATCATCTTCAATGTCCTTTACGGTTTCTTTGGTGTTGTTTAAGCAATCCATGTTATGGATGACTGTGAAGTTTGTTGATGGAGTGGCTTCAACATCTGGGAATTATCTAACCAATTTTTCTAATCATGTATTACTAACAAAAAAAACATAAGCATATTCCCTTTATCACATTATCCTCCACCATCACCTCCAAAATACAGTGGTTCACAGTATTTTATTTAAGGCTGCAGGCCATTTTTCCCAGCAAACTCAAACTTTATTCAAAAATATCCTGAACAGGAAGGTTCTTTATCCATTCTAAAAAATTGTTCCAAAAGTTTCCTATGTGTTTGGCTGGCCCTAAAGTATTTCATGCTCAGATATAGCTTTCTGTCATCTTGTTTGCTTATAGAAAGTTAGCTCAACTAAATAACCCAACATATAAATTCTTAATTACTAAATCATATTTTGCCTGTTAGGAAAGGTAATGGTCTGGAAGCATAATGGATTATATAAGGCCACAGGCAGTTCAAAGCAGGGATGACCAAATGGCAAACAAATCATATTTATAGTCATCCCCTCTACTAAAAAGGATAACTACTTATTATACTAAAATGACCACTTTTGATTAAAATTTAAACACATAAAACAGTACAGTACACTTCTTGGTTGAAGTCTGTGTACTGTAAGAACATGATCTTCTACATTCTCATAAATATTTAAACACACTTTTCTTCCACATACACATTAGTAATCTTATTGAAAGAACTTATTTAACCCAGCTTTACCTTTTGACTTCATCCATAGAGAAACTTCAAGTTAAATTTACCATTCAATGTTATAATCTGTTAGTGCCAATATAGTTTCTTCCTACAAATTTTTTTTTCAAAAAATAATTGTAACTGTCCTGTTTTACATGTGTTTTACAATTGTAAGCCACTTCTAATGCTTTTTGAAAGGTTTAATATAAATCATAATTGAAAATGACTAACCCTGACTAAAGCATAAACAGATGTCTGATTAATGTGTGAAACCACTCTTCTTCAATATACATCAATCCTAGAGAACAATAAAGTTTCATGCTCATGATTTTCAATATAAAATATTCATACATATTTCAGATTGCTCCAATCTAATAACCTCCCTTTGAAGATGAACAAAACATACACACACCTCTGTTGGAGAAGCAATGGGAAAATCGGTAGGTACTTTCCCTAAATGCTTCCAAACAGATGAATATGATTGTGAAGACTATCTTGTTTCTCATTCAGTTAAAACTTTCAAGAAAAAATATTTAAAATGACTTAAAGACTTCTGTATAAATAGCTACCTAAAGACAGAATAAATTGGGAGGATGTCGGTCAAACACAGCTGAGCTCCACTCAACTCAAATTAGCCCAGTCTCTTGACAACAAAGCTCATTTTCTTAACATATGGGTTTCTTCAGGACTTGATGATTTGCTGAGCACCATAGTAATCTTTTAAGACACTAATCAAAAACATGGTCCTATATTTAAAAACCCCAGAAGTGGTTTTAGGACAACAGAAGCACCTCAACCACTAAAATAAGCAAATTTCTATTATAAGTAAAATTACCACACAGCAAATCCTGGAACAGTTCAGCAACCAATAAATAGAAAATAGTCTTAAAAAGCTGCTATTTCTGATTATTCCTTTGGATCCTTCAACTATAGTTAAAATATATGGAAAATAATTGGTTGTCAGAAAGCTCGTGACTACATGATATGCTTCTTATGAAAGAATACTGGCCTGAGTTAAGAATGAACAACTCAGACCAGATGCACAGTGGGTATTTCTATTACCTGGGCCTTGGGCTCCTCCTGAGTAGTGTCTAACAATTGGGCAAGTTTCATTAAGATTTCATAGCCTAACATAAAACAATGACCAACACATTTAGATCTCCTGGAATCAATACAGGAATGAGACAATTAAAGATGTGCTACAAATAAGCAGGTCTAAAGCTGCCATATCCACCCAGCAACTCAAAGAGCCCTTGCTAACCTACACTGAACATAGCAGCAAATACTAATGTTATATTGAAGTGCATATCATCAGATTATATCTAACCACCTTTAATATTTATATATGTGGTACTAAACCCTCAGAAGATTAGACTTATGAGAGCATAGTTTAAAAGCACATTCCTCATTGCTTTTTAAAGTTAAATACAGGCTTTTCTGTTGAAGTAATTTATATTTTTCATACTTCCTAAAATAGGCATAGGATTTCTAAACTGAAGAAAAATGTCTCAAAGAGCCACATATTATGTACTCAGACAAGTCAAAGAAGTAATTAAGTTAGTAAATTGAATAAGTTAACTTGAATAAATTAAAAATGCACATTCAGAACAAAATTGTAGTTTTGGTCAGCAACATGTGAACCAAAAGCAAAAATCTGCCAAGGTTAAGGCAGGTTTTTTTTTAATATACAGTACAATGTGTTCCCCCCCACACCCACAAAGTTCATTAAGCATTCACCTTTATTTAAAATGCAATGCCAAGCTAGAATACAAGCTTACTAATTAAAAATATATATATAGATGTCATAGAAGTCTCCTTCTGTTTTATAGTCTTCCTTTTACCTAGAAATGTTATTTCCCTTTTGCCTTCACACAGTGGATATAAGAGATTACCAAAACAATCATGACTTTAACCACAAAGCATGACCACTGTCAGGGTGATAGCCTTTGTAAGGAATTACTTTCTTCTTCAGCTGGAGTTAATTTAAGTGTTGGCAGTTTCCGAGGAGGAAGCTGAGGGCTTTGGCGAAGATTGTCATCCATCTGTAGAAGGTACAAAAGATACAACTAAGGCTGTGGCACCACTTACGTGGACTGTGCCCTCCCCATCCAAACTACAGACTTGAAGAACACAGAACCATATGTTTCCTGGACCGCTAGAGAAACCTTTATTTTAACAAATAATCTCTCAAGAATTCTAAATGTCATACCTCAAATACCAGTTGACTCAGTATCTGTAAAAAGCAACATGGCTCATCCTTGATACCATCACAAAATTATAGTAATTCTACAAAATGAATATTCTACTGAACTCAACCATAGCAAGACTTAGTTTAAGAAGTCTTCTAACAGTACAAGTCATATACTAAGTGCCATGGTTTATAAAGTATATTCATGTACAATATCATATTTGATATTCCTAACACACTGTGAAGAAGAAAAGGCAGACATCATCCTTCTGTGTTTTACAGATTAGAAAAATGAGGCTTGGAAAGGCTAAGTGGTTTTGTCCAGTTCACAAAGCTAGTATCACAGCTGAAACTTGAACCCAGGTCTTCCAATTACAACACAATTGTTTTTTCAACTCTACATTTTTGCCTGACAGCAACCTGTACTGCACTCAAAAAGAACAGTTCTTTTAAGTTGAGTATGTAGTTCAGGGAAGCTAGGAAAAGGGGCCCAAAGGAGGTCAAATTCCTCTGATCCAATCCAGAGGTCTTCCAAATATTGGATCAGTCCTAAGTCTGCCTTTGAGAAACAAATTAATATGGAGCATATTTATAACCAAGAACTCCAAACTTATCCAAGAGAAAGCATATTAGTACTCCTGAAACACTAATATATGGATTATTGAGAATTCAGTCAGACATCAAAAACTATCTTTAATCAGACCACCCCACAAGGTACAAGATTCAGGTTCTGGTGCTGAGTTTACTATCAGTTGAACTTCATAAGAGACCTGAAAGCAGCTGCCTTCAAAACCACAAAACCAACAGAAAATAGCATCCTTCCACCAACTTCATAGGGAAACTATTCTAGAATTTTACAAGATGCAGACGATTCAAACTCTCCCTTATCTTCTCAAGATGCTTAAAAAACAAAAATTTTGGCAGAGGTACACAGGTTTGTAGGAGAAGAAAGAAAATAAAAGTTCAACTTTTTAAGTTTTCCAGTGAAAAAAATATTACTAGTGAATTTTTAGATCAATTATGTTAAGATGTCTTTTCTTTCTTGCAAGAACTAGTTCCTCAAGCATGATTTATTTTTAAGCTCTAGATTTTCTGTCCAAATTGTGGACAGTGGCAGCTAACAGGGTTTGTTGTCCTGCCATTCTGTAGCAACCAGTGAATCAGATATAAATGGGTGGGCAGCAAAGGGAGGGGAATGCCGGACTACAATGGGTTAGAAAACTTTCATAAATTGGTGATGATCCAAGATGACTATGTACAACGTGGTGATGGGCCTCCTGATTTTACCGTCTGCACATGCAGGTATTTCATAGGTCCCTTTTCATGTCTGTCCTGAGTTCACCACACAGAAATGGAAACTCCACTGGATAGCCTTCATCTAGTAGACAGTGATCTTTCCTTTATCCCCACTTAACACTTCATCTATTTGCTCTCATGAGATTTACTGAATTGTGCAAAGAATTGAGTCAGACTTGGCTTTAACTTCAAATACACCAAAACTTCAATAATAATAGCACTTGTTATTTTACTATCCAGTTTTATTCACTTCTCAAATTACAACACACAAAATACTACAAAAAGAAATAGAAGGTCATCCCAGAGAATGACAGTGATAAATCTAATTGCTACTACTCCAGTAATAGACATAATCTCATCCATGAGCTAGGCAGTGACTACTGGGGGTAACTACAAAGCTCATGCTGAAGTCTTTTTCCAGGGTTCAAGTGCGCTCTCAATTTTTTGCCAGCCAAATGACCTCGGGCAAGCAACATAAGCTACTCTCAAAGCTTCAGTATCCTCATCTGTAAAATGGGGACAATAACAGTATCTGCACAAAGAATCTACTGTGAGTTTTAAAATCAGAAGTTTCTCAAAAGAATATACACAAATGGTCAACAAATGGTGCTTGTAATATGGAAAAAAAATGTTCAACATTTCTAGCAATCTGGGAAACACAGATCAAAACAACACTAAGATTTCATTATACTCCAGACAGAATGTTAATTATCAAGAACACAAATAATAAATGCTAACAAGGATGTGGGGAAAAGGTACACTGACATGCTGTTGGTGAAACTGCAAGTTAGTACAACCACTCTGGAAAGCAGTGGAACCACCATATGACCCAGTTATCCCACTCCTTGGTATTTATCCAAAAAAACTAAAATCAGCATCTATAGTGATGCAGCCACTTCAATGTTTGTAGCAGCACAATTCACAATAGTCAAATTATAAAATCAACCAGATGTCCGTCAAAAGTTCAAGAAAATGTAGTCTATACATACAATGAAGTTCTACTCCATCATAAAGAAGAATGAAAAAATGGCATTTGCCAGTAAGTGAACAGAAATGGAGAAAATCATGCTAAGTGAAATAAGCTGGACTCCAAAAATCAAGGGTCAAATATTTTCTCCCATATGTGCAAGCTAGAACAAAATAAAGGAAAGAGATGGTGTGGGGTGGGAGCAGATATCATAAATATATTGGGAAGATCAGTGAAGCAAGAGGAAAAGGAGGGAGGAAGGAAGGCAAAGGGGACAAAATACGGAATAATTTAACAAAATCATGCTATATGCATATATAAATGTAGCAAAGAGAATTTCATATACATATGTACACAAGAAAGTACCAATCAAAAATAAATAAATAAAGGAGTGAAAAAATATCAGTAAAGGAGGGAGACTAAAGGAAGGTAGGAAGGAAAAGTTGGGATGGGAGGGGAAAGAAACTGTTCAACATATTTTAAGGTACCATGTTTAGCCTCTCTTTCTTAAATTTAAAAATGGCATTCATCTTCAAAGTTCTTCAAAGTTTCTTAAATTTAAAAATGGCATTCATCTTCAAAGTTCTACAAAGTATAATCTTTGTACTTAGAAAAAAATGCATATAAACACAGAGAAGATGCCAAATTCTCACAATTCCATCCACAATAACTGTGTCATCCTCACCCTTTTTTATTAATAAATGCCTATATCTGTGGTTACAAAAATAAGTCATGATTAGTACATGATGGTAGATGAAAAAGAGACAAACCATTCTATGCTTATGGTATCATGGTATTTGTTAGACTCTGGAAACTGTTAGCCAGTGTTATGAGGCCTTAGTTTCCTTGAAAAAATGAAGTATTATTTATTCACAAAAGAAAAAAGTGAGTTCATCAGACACTTGGGGAAAAAATGTGCAACCTTCGCGTACTTTTCCAATTAGAATCACTCTTGAAGTTTACATTGCTGGTTCTCTCCCTTACCTGTTTTTCAATATCTCTTTCACAAAATGAATACCTCAAAGAGGGAAAATATATACTCTGGTGAAATACTGTAGACTACATTCAAAACAGAGAAGGACAAGAAGGAGAAAAACTAACACAGATCGTGTGCAAGAAAGAAAAAGACATCATGGTGCTTGTAATAAGAAAATATATGTACTAGTCCAGGTGAATATAATCCTCAGGACAGAGAAAGGCAGACAAACAAGCAAGAACTGCTTTTGGTTTTGTTTCTTTTTTAAAGTCAAGCTTTTGGGTCTTCTAGCTTGATATGTACAAATTGTGTGGTAAAAATAAACATAATACTGTTATCTGATCTTTTCCCATAGTAAACAGGCCACTATAGGCTCTAAAACACTGTATTATATACAATATTAGTAAAAGTATATTTAAACAGTTTTCTACAAACTCTTTAAAAAATTTCAAGGGTAAAGTTAATGCATCACCCAAATTACAACATTGACCACAGAATGGAAAATACTAAACAACTGTAAAATAATCATCGAAGTAAACTTGACCTTTTCAATCAAATTGGATTCCTTATTTACAAGTTGTGTGAGTTTCTGCAGATTTGCATCTACTGTTTCTTGTCCAGCTGGAGAGATGCCTATGAACCAGGGCAGAAATCAGAGAAAGACAGGAAATTTTGAAAGCCTTTAAAGCAGTTTATATTAAAAGAATTTTGAATCTACCCACCCTCCCAAGTGCCTCACCCTCCAAAAATAAAAGACAAAGAGAAAAATCATTCTAGATTCAAAAGCAAAGTTAGGAAGAATAGTAATGCTCCAAACCAAACCCTCAACAAAGGAACTAAAATTTCTCCACATAGAAGACACTGTGAGCCAAGTGATATGCAGCCAGCCACAGCAGTAAATAGTAAAAGCACAGCAGTCCATATTTCCTTTTGAAATTTAAGTTGTACCTTTTCTTCACCCTTTCAAATAGATCTTTGGTCACAACTATTTGGAAAGCTTTCTGAATCACTGACTTCCAAATAGCTGCTCACAAGGCACCCAAAATATTTAAAGGGCCTTTAAAAACTACAGCTTTCTGGGATCAGTCCGTAGGTGATTCTAATGTAATAAGTCTAGAAGAGGATAAGACTTTTATTTGTTGTTAGGCAGGTTTGCTAACCACTGCTTCAAAGTAACAAGGTTGAATGTTAGTTAGCTTCAAGACTCTCAACCACTAATCCCACCCTAGGTACAAAGCACATCAAAAATAAACTTCCACCTATGCCATCTGTCTTTATAACTTTTACTTCTTAAAAGGGCGATTTCAGCCAGCTCTCCCAATATAAATTTAGTATCACAATCACTTAAGCACAAGGCCCCACACTCAAAAGAATTGAATCTTAAGTGACAGGTTCCCTCTACTTACTATACCTCCAATTTGATGCAATGATTTTTCAAGTACTGGAATCATGGGAGTGCACCTCACCAAAATCAATCTGCTATTAATTTCTGTTCACACAGGAAAATGCTAGAAGCAGGTAAAAATCATTTAAAGTAATTGAGCATTTGCATTAGAATAAATACTATTTTTTTAAGCAGGGACTTAATACTTGTCATTTAATTTTCCAGAATAAAATTATCCACTTCAAAGGGCAACATTTAAAGAGACAAGAAATATATGAAATCCTGAGGAATACAAAATAAATGCCTATTTCTCTATTTTTGAAGGAAATGAAATTGGGAAAATGCTACTTCTTGAAGTGTGTAAACCAGTATTTATAGACAATGTACACTTTTTTTATTAAAATAAGAATAAAGTTTTGCTTATGTATCCCCAGGAGAATATGTCCATACTCTATGCAAACAAATATTAGATGAAGAAGAAACAGCTTACCTCCAAGACTAAGCCTAAAGTAACTGTTTAGGATATCATCACAAAAGCGACACAGGTTGGACAGCTGTTTCAGATGTTCTTGTAACTGAACTTTAGGAAACCGTACTTTGTAAAGAGGTGCAAGAAAACCAAACACATAGGCATCCAAGGTAGAAGGCCTAAAAAATACATAAGAAAATATTAATTGGGATTGTGTTTAAAATTTTTTCAAATATTTGACAAGTATGATGTATACAATATTGTTTTAAAAACCTCTACTACCAATTTTAGTTTATTAAGATGATACAACAACAATTTTGCCCTTTACATAGATTTTTAAATACTCCATTTTATTTAGAAGAAAATAAACTTGTAAATTACAGATATTTTTACTCACAAGTGTTAAATAGACAGGAGATAGAGTGGGAACAATTGTTTATGTTTTACATTCACTTATATAGCATATTAAGCCAATGTTTGATTACTACCGATAAAAAAAAAGTTTTCTGTAATAAAAACCCATTAAAATCTCTCTTTTTTAAAAGTGACTCATATTTGGAGGGAATAAGGAGACTTGCTCTAAATAACTGCTCTCTGACCATATATACACAAAATGTCAATATTTCTAAGGGCATGTACTCACGTATCTCCAAAGAAAAACTGAGATGTTCCCAATCTGTTTGACAGAAGATTTAGGCACTCCTTGGCATCTCTGTATATCTAATAAAAATGAAATTAGATCTCAAAAGTAGAAATGATGCTCTGAAACTGCTCTTGAGACAGCATCTCTAGGTAAGACCCTCTATGTTCTCTCTCCTACCCCTTCCCTGGGGATCCCTCACTTCGAGAATAAACCAGACCATACCTGAGCTTCTACTTCTTGGACACGGTAGAGGGGAGGCTCTCCTTTTGTCAGGAGAATTCTATTCAATGCCCCTCTGGACATCCTTCCAGGTAGAATCAAACTCAAGGGAAAAGGAATTCGTGAAGCAAACCATGGCTTTGTTACAGTAAAGTAATTGTCACTCTCAACCCAGAATGTGTGAAGCTGCAAAAGGAGAAAACATTCCAATGATGTCCTTTTACAAGAAAGATAAATCAATCATATGTGAGTTTTTCATAAATATCTATTAAATGACTTCATACCAGTTAGAATGACTCAAGATAAAACAAAATTTTTAATGTGTGTGTTTCTGCTAATATCCCAAGAACCGGGAACAAGGCCTAGCATATAGTAAGTGCTCAGTAAGTATGTGCTGAATGATGAATTACAGTTCAACCAATTCTATGCATGGAACAAAAAGTTTCATCTCCCACAAAGAATTTTCACTTCCAAAATGACATAATCTTTCACTTTGATGTATCATATACTTGTTTAATAAGAAAGAATTAATATTAAAACAAATGAAATTCCGTTAAGTCCTTTTCATTGTTTTCCTTCTAAACAAACTGAAAATATTTTCAATTAAGCCACCAAAACACTGTAATATTCGTGAATGCTCACCACAGCAGGGAGAAGCTTCTCTTCAAGGAGAGCAATATAAGCCAGTGTATCTGCCCCTTGCTTTGCTGACAGTTCATAATCAGCATTATATTTCTATTAAAAAATAAAACCAAAGAACCTCAGAAGTTAAAGAACATCCCAAGGATGGCTAAACAAATTAGGATTCCTACTTTTTCCTCATAAGTGGCAAACATGATATTAAAAGGGAAAAAGAAATATTAACACAGTAAAACTGTTGCTTAATGCATATAAGGTTCTCAGCACTATATCATGAAAACTGTAAACAAATAGTTATGATTTTATATATTAATATTATTTCAATACTTGTTAATGACCTAGTTCAGAACATAGAAGTTAAACAAAAGTGAGTATTATTAACAAAAAGAAAAAAAAAATCCACTTGGTTTAATTTTTCCCCATGAAAAAAGATAGGAAATCTTCAAATTTAGAAAAAAACTGTATTAACTCAGACTTTTTTTTAAAGTATTGGCAAACCCAATTATAAACTTCTACACTTATATAAATCTTCACGTTTAAACATTTTGGATACATTACTTAAATATTTATATGTTCAAACATTTAGTTATATTGTTTAATTAAACATTTAACTGTTACTATTTGATAAGTGCTTTAAGAAATAAACAATTGCAGCCAGGGTTATAGCTCAACGGTAGAACACTTGCCTCACACATGTGAGGCACTGGGTTCGATCCTCAGAACCACATAAAAATAAATAAATAAAGATATTGGGTCCATCTTAAAAAAAAATCTTAAAAATCAAAAAAGCAATAAACAATTGCTATTTGGTGGAAACTCAGATATTATATCCAGCTTAAAATGTGTAGCAACTATGTGACTAAACTGTGTAATTGTGAAAACACCCAAATTGAATTTTCTTATATATAAATTTCAATAAAATCCAGCAAAGTATATGAAAATATTTACTGTCTAGCACCATGGCACCTGCGGCCCGTAAACCCAGGCACTAGGGAAGCTACAGCAGGAAGATGGCAAGTTCCAGGCCAGTCTGGGCAACATAGAGAGACCCTATTTTAAAATACAAAAAAATTTAAAAGGGCTAGGAATATAGTGGTAAAGCAACCCTGGGTTCAATCCCTGATACACAAAGAAAGAAAATATATAATTCCTAGACAGATTAAAAAGAAAAGAAAGAAAATATATATTGTCTGGACATCACCATATGATTTTCAAATTACAGTAAAGCTCATGGTTGACAGCAGTGATTCTCAAGTTTATTTTTTGTTAAATCCCAGGTATCACCAATTATATAATCAACTGCAAAAAAAGAACTCTACACTTTACAATGTTTCTTTTTGCTGTAGTTTAAGTAACACCCAGGAATCTATAATCTTCTTCAAAAAGAACCACCCACCTGTTTTCTTAAAAAGTTTAGTATTTTTGCCGGCTGAGAAACAGTGTTGTCTTCAGTTGTCAAAATTGGCACATCACCTACAATTCAAAAAAAGTTTACATACAAAAAAACCATTGTGTTTTCTTTTGACTAGATTCCAATACCCTAATAGCTACACTAATTGCACATTTACAGGGGGTGGGGTGGAATTAGTAAGTACGCCTTAGTTTTTTGCAATTTCACAAAAAGCAGTTCTAAAGAACATTTTCATTTCTCATAATTTCCACTGATTTGGCTTGCACTTTGAGTTATTACTCAGAATGATCAAACCATAAGCAACACACTGCCAAGGTCATGGTAAGAATAAACTAAACCCCCAAGGAACTCTAGGACCATATGCTTCATGACATTAAATGAAAGGGAAAAAAAATTTTAAGGGAGAAAGGGTTGTCTAAAAGTTTACACTGTACCTCTTGAACCTCTCCAGGTGTTATCTATGAAATTGACTTTCAAGGGTGCACCAGAAAATTTGGCATAAGCCTGAAATAGAGTTTGCAATAAAACATTTTAGACTGAGGACGTAATGCAAATCTGCACAGCAGCTTTACTCCACAGTCCCGTCCCGCAAGGCAGAAGGCGCCTGCTTGACACAGAGGCCGAGTCCCTCCCAGTGATCTCAAGTCCGGGACGCGCGCGCCAGCCACCCGGCATTCGCGAACCTTGTTCCCCAAAAGGTCCCGGGGATGCGGAGCGCAGCAGGCTTTCACGGCACGGCCCAGACAGCTTTGCAAAGCTAAGAAAACTCGCAGCCAAGCAGGAAGCCATGATGCTCCCGCCGGGCCACCGCGGGGTCACAAGGCCAGTTTGTGACTTGTCCACCGAAGTGAGCCCAAAGCAAGTGCAGTGAGCAGCGCCCGGGCCCGCCACGATCCCACAGCGCCGTAGAGAACCGCGTCAGGCTGGCCTCTCGCCTCTGGCCCCGCCCCTGCTTCCCGCGCCCTGGCCCGCGAAGCGGCCTCACCATCACCACCAGGGACTCGCTGTGGACGGAGGGGAGCCCCCAGCCGCCTCCCCAGCAACTGAGCTCCAAGGGGGCCGCCATCTTGCCGGGGCCGACCTTTACCACCCGGAAGTACTCTTGTCGCCCACTTTCCGGCACGTGGAGACGCGGGGGCGGGACGAGGGACGGGAGGGACAATTTGGGGTACTAGAAAAAGGCGGAGAGGACCCCTGGAGAAGTAAAAGCCCACTTGGCAGCTCGGTGTGAGGGTGGAGCCTCCTGGGTCTTCAGTCAAACAGAGTCAGCATTTATTCCTCAAGAAATAATGATGGCTGCTGTGGGCCAAACCTGTGGACAGTACTGTGCTGGGCTGAAGAGTGTTTAAAGTGGTGACAGGGGGAAAGAACTCAGCACACGATAAGGATATTGGGCCTCTGCCTGTCTTTTCATCCTCAGTCTCAGTTGTCATCCTTATATCCCAACTTCCTTAAAAGCAATCCTATTTTGAAATTTAACAGGTGAATTCTGCCTGCCTTCAGTGGTACCCCTTCCATCGGGAATATCATTCTTCTCTCTTAAACTGATCCCTCAAAAATGAGCTTGACTTTCACGATCCTTGGGAAGTCTTTACACAGGAACTTCTTTGGGGTTCCAACAACTGCTTGTCTATACTTGAATTGTAACTTGTAGCCATACTACTGATGTTTTGCTTTCCACTGTTAGAAGCTCTTTGAGGACATAGCAGCGTCTTGTTTATTTACAAGGGCTGGCTTCGTAGGTGTGGGACCAGTGGAGTTACACAAGGCCCTGTGCTGAGAAGGTTTCTCAGTTAGCTAATCCTGTACTGTCACTGTGGGCCGACTGGGCATGGACTAAATATTTCTTGAACATTAAACCTGAAAAATTCTCAGAAAAATCATTAAAGAGAAAAGGTAGGCAGTGAAAATACCAGTGATCCAGGTATACTTACTGGCTTTTAGAGTCAGGACTTGGGGGCTGGGTTTTTCTTTTAAATAGTCTTTCTGAGATATCCTCCTATTATGCCTGTGAATTCTCTCCTTTCCTGTGTCCCAGGACACAGTGTAGTTTGGTCTCGTTAAACAACTGAAAGCTTGAAATCTCTGCAAGTCTTCATAAAGTTACTATTCAAAAAAAATTTTGCTAGGCACTCCCTTACTATAGCCATCTAAATTAGAGTGCCAATCTGCTCACGACTCTTTTTCATGTTCCAAAAGCGAAAGTTCTCAGAAGTGAAAACGAAAAGATGTGTCAAAGATATGAATCCATTAGAATAACACTTTATAAGTGGGAAATCCTTAGGATATGTACAGTTAAAATTAAATAATTATAACACATTTATTGAGCATATACTATGTCCCAGACACCACAAGGCTGTGGGAGAATACAGAGATATATAAGGTCTGAAATCTTCCTCAGAAGTTTATATTTATATAAAGAAAACATACAGCTAGGTGTAACAAGCCAATTTGTCATGAGTAAGTTTAGAGGTATAAATAAAATACTACAGAAACACGAAGGAAGGACAGAGCACCCTGTATAGGATCAGTGGAGTCTGTCTTCTCAATCTGCATTATCAAGTGGGTAACACAACTTTCAGATTTGGGTAATAAAACCTTTCTGTTTTGAGGATTAAAATCCCAAGCCATAAAGCTCAGAGGTTGCATACTACATTCAGGCATTTAAAATAATCACCCACAGAGAAGTGGATTCCCTGAATTGTGTTTGTAGTGAGGGGGTGGGGGAAGTGGTTGATGAACACGCTTTGTGGACACATAATGTAATTACTCAGTTTGGCCTTCTCCCTTACTGCTGATTTTACATATGACAATTTCATTTGCATTAAAGAGAAATTAAATCTCTTCTCTTAGTGTTGAATTGAGACAGAGAATAGCATTTCATTGCATTTGATGAGAGAATCCTTACACACAGGTTTATTTGTGCCTAGTTAATAGCAATCTTTTATTGCTGTAATTCCTCTTGAGAGTCTATATCTGCTAGATTGAATTTAAAAACCCTGGCATAGCTGATTGCACAACCAGGCTGAATACTGTTCCAGAGAACCACACAGAAAGCTGAAACCCACAGAAATTATGCCTGGTATTGGTATTTGGCTCCTGAGCCTTTTCCTGGCTGCTAAGGAGTATTGTTCAGAGTTCATCAAAATCATAATTTCAGATTCTTACCAGGAAGGATATTATCTGCAAAACATTCAAGGATGTGTGGGATGGCTTGAATCACAGTTTTATAATGAATATTCCAGACAATGTTTTCCCTGAAAAAGAAATCTTATTTTTCAAAAGATGAACATTAAAATGGTCCAGTGGTGGTCATCTGAACTCCAGGGACCTGACCTTGTCATCCATTCCTGTATCTCCTGGGTTTCTTAACTTGGGAATCCTAGCGCAGGTTCTGTTAGTATTTTTTTTTTCTTTTCTGGATGATTAAGAATCTGTAAAATGGACTGTTGGCAAAAATGCAAGGTTTGTGACAAGTGATCATGCAGTATGTTCCCTTATGGAAAAGTTAAACTGAAGAGACCTGAATGTCTCTTACAACTTTAAGGGTCTATAATTCAGTCCATGTTCATGTGTAGAAATCTTTAGTGAGAAAAACCCAAGTACTGAATAGGAATCATGAGACCTGTGTTTTTGACCTGGCCTCTAAATTAGCCATATGTTTTGAGCCAATCATTTTACCTTGATTCCTCACTCTCTTTTCACTTATAAAGTGAAAGTTCTTTAACCTCTGAGGTGCTCTCATTCTATGTTTAATAAACACTTAGTAATAGCTGACATTCAGGGAGCAATTTTTACATGCCCCAAATTGTCTTAAGTATCTGACAACACTCAGTTGACTTCCTAATGGCTCTATGATGCAGATACTGTTGTTTTCTCTTATTTTCAAGGAAAGACAATGAGGCACAAAAACATTAATTAACCTTCCCAAAGTCACACAGTCAGTAGGTGAGAGTCAGAATTTGAACCCAGGCAATCTGCCTTCAGAGGTCATACTCTTTCTCAATCAGTGTCAGTAGTGCTTCATGTAGTCTCCTGAGAAATCCACTTTAAAAAGCCTAGTTTCACAGATAGTGGAAGTACCAATAACATGATATAACTGTCTTTACTTCTTTGGCACATTTATTTAGCATTAAGCTGGTAAACAAATTCATTAAGCAACTTCTGTATGCCTAACACATGGCAAGCCTGTCAGGGAATAAAAATTATGTTAATACTTTCAGAGGGACAGTTAATGAAATGAGGACTATATATTTGGGACAACTAGAGACTATTAGGAAGTACTATCTTGCCAAGAAAATTACAAGTCTAACTTGGTTTTAGACAAAGACTTCAATGTCCTGCAAGGCCTAATGAAAGAAGTAGGTTGCTAGTTGGCCTTGGATCACAAGCATGTTGGATTTCGATTAGCACAGGGCAAGGTGGGCCACACAGGCTACACTACCTGAGTGAAAGCAAAGAAATGGTAATCACTATGGCAAGGAATCTGAAGAAAAGCAAATAAATGCTGGATACGGGTCAGAAGGAGTGTTGATTGACTAAGCGAACCAGAATTGAAAAAACATGGAGATATGTAGTTTTAAGGAAAAAGAAGAGTGAAAGTCTAAGCACAACATTAATGGATTCCCAGAGTCAAAGATGGCAGGTGGAATACTATTGTTTCATGGTCACCATAAGAGGGTGAGTTGTATGAACCCATAAAAATGAAATCAAATAAAGCAAAACTGTGGTAGAAAAAGAAGCAAGGAAATTCTGCTGAATCTCATTAGAAGAAGGTCACTTGGCACACTTGCACTGAGCAATTTTCATAGAGGAAGTTGATAGAAATTAAATTGCAAAGGGTTATTAGAGAAAGGGGTATAAAGAGCCCAAGATATAAAATCACAAAGAATATGATGGGTGGCGACAGGACAGAAAACAGATAGGAGTAGAAGATTCAAGATAGAGTTTTTGAAAGAGACGACAGTGAATCTACATATAGATGAAGACAAAATTGGAAATTACTGAGCAAAAGCTTGAAATTCTAGAGGGAAAAAGGATGGTATCATAGGAAAAGTGAAATCCTAAGAGTTGAGAGGCTTGATAAGTGGGGTTGTCCTTGAAAATGAGAGACATATTTTCTTTCTGACACTGGGGGAAGTTTCAAGGGGAATATGGGATGCTGAGTGGGCTCAAATCAGCTACCTTAATATTTTTTCTATTGCATCAGAAAATAATTCAAAGGAGCCTGAGAGGAAGAGATTGGGGCTTAAAAAGAAAGAGATCAATTAAGAGAATATACCAGGGAATTAGTTAACAGTGAATGGAAGCACTGCTGACAGTGCTAAAACTCAAATATAAATTAGGATAAAAGAGCTAAGTAAGAGCCACAGGCAGGCTAATAATGAGGTGCCTTCAAACAGATATCATTTAAATATTAATTTGATTTTTTTAAATGAAAATGAGATTGGCTTCAGAATGTAACAAGATCAATTTGCATTTCACCAATTACATTAGAAGTCTTATGTGGATACCTGCGTTTTAGTAACCCTTAAATTTTGGCCCTGAAAATGATGGTGAGAAAAGGGATGGGACCATAGGAACTGAAAGAGGATGGGATCTATAGCTTTGGCATGATGGATTCAGCCACCCCTGAGTCTAACCGCATTTTTACAGTCATGTGGCTCTCCTCAAAGGCACTTTGTTGCCTAAAAGGATAAATAAGGATTTGGGTTTATTCATTCATTTGGAAGCTATGTTAAGGCTATAAGACAGTGCAAGGGATTCATTTTCCTCCCATAGCATAGTGAAGTTGCTGTCTGTCTTTTGTATTAAAAAGAGTTAAATATAAAAAAAGTAATATTATCATGGAACATGTGCTCAATTTATGTTGAGAAAATTGGATAGTTATACTTAAAAATTGAGGAGGATAATAGATTCTAAATAAAAATAAGTTTTATACACATAACTGAAAGTAGTAAAACATATACCAGCATGCTATGGTGAGATTTATATGTATATTGCAATTCTGAGAGCAACCATTAAGAAAACTATAAAAGGAACATATTCATAAACACCAAATAAATAGAATTTTTTAAAAAAT